TGTATTTGCACATCCATTTGCACAGTTTACTGTAGCTACTGTTAATCATATATAATATATATATATATATACATATAATATTTTATATTTTTATCTTTTGGCAAATTCAGTGTTTTCTTGTCCCTGACGCTTGGCCATTATTCTATTAGACAATTTACCAAACAATTACTAATAATACTTTACTTATTTACTTTTCTTCCCAGAAGTGAACCAGACGACGAGATATAGGCCTACTGTATATATTTTTTAAGCTTTCGTACACGCCTTAAAATCAAAAAGGCCTCACGCCCCTCCTCCATGAAGCTTTGGCCACCCATAGCAGGGGTCCCGACCCCAAGGTTAGGAACCACAGGGTCAAAGGACATCTTTCATGTGGCTCCAAAACAATGGACTTTACTCCTAAAACTTCTCCACTACATCAAAATGTGGTATCAAGATCAACAAGAAACATTAAAATGAAGACACTGCGACTTGGTTACCTGAATTTAATCACAACTTCATTTCCAATTGAAAAAATATGCCTACTATTTTTGCCAGTGATCCTCGGCTGCATCTATATATACTCTTTTATGTCTTTAGAGTGACATTTTTGGCATTCAGTATCAGCATATGTTACTTACAATCAATCAGTGTTGGCAGGGACTATAAATGGATTTCTTCAAGACCTGATTTGAACCTATTAGTGGACATGATCTTTGCAGCCTTTTACAGCAGCAATAGCAGACAATAATTGCTGCCAGTGTCGCACCAGGACTTCTGCTCAGATCAAAGTCAGTGTTTACCAAATGTTAGCACATGATTGGTAATTTTATTTCTTCATAATCATCCCTCCAGATAGCTGTTAGACTACAGCCCTGATGACTATTGAAGGAACCAAAGTACATTTTTGCTGTAAAACAAGAAGATCAAACTTTATTGTCCAGGATTGTTGGAAAAAATTTGTAGCCTGTTGTTTAGACTCAAGGGCATTTGTTTTTTAAACCAACTGCATGCAGTTTACCAGTATGGTTTGGTTGATGGTCAAGCCCACTGTCCTCTACCTCTGTGGACTGTAATATAATGGCTCAACAGTTTGTCCAGAGAAATAATTTAATTCTGCAATACACAAGAAATGATTAAAATGCTGAGATGTATCAAAACAGAAACATACTGTACATTCAAATACAGTACATAGACAGACCTACATAGACGTTCTTGCAATCATTCTTGAATTAGAGCTTGTGCTGTAAATAGTCTCAGTTGCATACTCATTCTTTATCACATAATGCAAAGTAATGCTAATAAAACCAGTGGATAAAGTCCACAAAATGTGTTTGGCACATTCAGAATGATCCACGTTTCATTACACTTTATGTAAGCCAGGAACACACTATACCAAAGACCTAAAATAACTCTTTACAATGACATCTTAAATACTGTGGAGAGTTTACCCAGGACAGAAACCAGTATAACCAGTTGGTGTTATCTTAGGCTACATTCACACTACGGGCACACATGACCAAAATCTGATTTATTTATTTTATGCTCATATGTGACTTTCATGACAGTGTGAATGGCACAAATCACATGCAATCTGATCTTTTCAATACTGATTTGGGCCACTTTCATATGTAGTCCAAATTAGATATAAGTCAAAAGAAGACCTCAGTGTGAACGGTCAATTAATTTGACTTTTATGTCACTCTAGATCTATGTTCGTCATGTGGGAGACTTGAGGACCGTGACCTGTTCACACTGGGATCTGATATGGGCCACATTTAAAAAATTATGTGAACAGCCAAACTAAAAAAAACTGATCTTGATTAATAAATCGTAACTGATCACTTAGGCTTACAGTGTGAACGTAGCCTTAGAGTTTAGAATTAAAATATCTTGTATTGCTGTCCCAATTGTTTGAATTTGTATGACTGGAATCTGCATTAGTCTGAATGAGATCCTGTAGTCTTAGCTGGTTTACTTAGAGCTCTGTATAGAAAACCAGCAGTCATTTGTCTTCTCATAGCATTAATTAGGATTTTTATAAAAGTCCTCCTAGTGTGTTCCTGGCTGTTGGCAGATTTTGCATTTTTAACCCTGATGGGTGAGATTTAGACCAGCAAAACACAGAAGATGCAATGTAAACTAATCCACATCATGCAGCCATTACGACATGCATGTTTTAAAATCTTTGTAAACTTTTGGCAGAATCAGTAGCCTTCAAGTCCACATCATCTCAAGTGAATTCTGTAAACAAAGAGGGCCTCAAACATACAGTATAAGAGCAAAAATAATTGTGTGCAACAAGGTATAAGAGTACGTAAATTTTTTCAGAAGTTGTAGGAGGTGATCTGATGTGCTTGGTCCCCACTCCTGTGTTCTTGTGCCTGGTAATCCGACCCAAGGTAATGCATAAGATGGCATTCAGTCCTAAGAGAGTCCTTTTTAGAAGAAGGGCAGGGGCTCTGGGCTCAGTCGTCTTCTTCCTCATCGTCCTCTACGGGATCTAGGAGGACGCTGTGCTTCAAGCAGGTTTGGAGGTAGTTCACCACTGTCCGCTGGAAGTGCTGGATGCTGCGCGGCTCTCTCAGGATGTGGCCCTCGTCTGGGTACAACTGCAGTGAGTAGTTGGCTTCCACCTTCACCAGTCGGTTCAGGAGCTCAGCGCTGTGCTGGAAGTGTACCCTCGCTTTGGTCAAACACAGATACATTGGAATTAGTTTTAGAAATTATTATTAAAAGCAAGCAATTAAAATTTAAGCAGCATACAATTGATCAAAATCTCACCATCTGCAGTTCCATGCAGAATAAGGAAGTTCTCATCTTTCAGCTTGTTAACCTCCTCCAGCAAAGAGGCAGTCTGAAAAGATACACCATCACATTGTGAGTGCTTTATTAGGCACAACTACCTAGCTGAAACTAACGCAGCCTGACACAAAAGCCCTGTAATAAATTCTGCCTTCATAAAAATTTTATTGTTCGGTTTTTGTTGAAACTGTTTTAGAGAGGTGTTGATTAAACTCTATGGTCGTCTTGGAGCAGTGCAGTTGAATTGTATTGCATTATACATAGAGGTGTTTCTGTTATTTAGTCTGCTCTCAGTAACATAAATGAGGTGGACAAAATATCAGAAACATTTCTCAGTATAACAAAATACAATTCAGCTGTAAGTTTAATCAGCACCTCTCTAAAACAGTTTCAACAAAACCTGCACTTTATAACCATCATGGACCATCATTTATTGGAGGATTGTTGTATTAGACTGCACTAGTTTGTGGTAAGAAAGTTGCAACTGAGTGTATATCCACAACCATTGTCATTGTTAGCGTATCAACAGAGGTGTCAACAGTACACATATTCTTTACTCAAGCAGAAGTACATATACTTCTGTAAAAAAGACTAGAGTAAAAGTAGAAGTAGAAGTATTGACTTAATTACTTTACTCAAGTAAAAGTGAAAAAGTACAGGCTCTGAAATGTACACAAAAGTATAAGAGTAAAAAGTCCTCTCATGGTTTCTCTGAAGGACATTTATACCCGTGCAAAGCTAACTGAAATGACAAATAGGGTCGAGTCTCTTCTCTTTTGTTTTACTACACAGCATTTGCAGTCAGGGCCCGGAGGCTCTAGAACAATATGCCCGAGGAATTCGGAAGTATCTTTTTTACTTAAACCTAAATGTTTTTTCTTGTTTATTTGTTTTTTGTTTTAAATTGATGATTTAATAACTTGGGTTGTATTGTATTTTATTTTTTGTGAAGCACTTTATAATGTTGGTTTTAAAAGTGTTCTACAAATAAAGAACATTATTAGGTTATTACTATGTTGTTTTTGGCTTTGTCATCATGTTACATTTGTCATGTGTGATATAAGCATGTTGGGCAGGCGTGCAATGACCAAAATAATAATAATAATAATAATAATAATAATAATAATAATAATAATAAAAACCTAAAGTAACAAGCCTGTTTTAAAATGTAGGCGTAGAAAAGTGTACACGTATAATTTGGTGTAAAAATGATAGGGGTAAAAGTGAAAAGTAAAAGAAAAAAATAACCAAATATTTACACTTAATAGCTTTAGAGCCCCACCGAGTATGCATGCTCCTCCTTTGCTGGAAGGCCAAGATACCTCTCCGAGAATGCAGCACCTGAAAAAAGAAGAATAACTTTACTAATACGTGAACTGTGTCTCTATTTCATCACTATCTCCATGGCCTCGATGTTTGAATAATTAATGACATGTCTCAACTCACTATAAAGCCTGAAGTCAGTTATCGGTGCCACGGCGGCTGTGCATTGAAAGAGCTTATCAGTGGCAGCTAACATCTTGAGAGTTAAATAACCACCAAATGCCTGTGGGGAGAAGCAGAAAAGTGCTAACAATCAAACCAATGGGCTTCAGTTGTAGTACTGAGTTTCCAAATTTAAATGATGCTGTAACCTTGCCATAGAGGACCATCCGACGATCGTCAATGTAAGGCAATTGCATCAACAACCTGCGTAAATATCATAAAAATCCTGCTGGTTTACC